AGACCCATAGGGCCCAGTTTAAATATACTTACAAACACACATAGTCAAAACAGCTGAAAAAAATCAAAAGGGTAGTCTCATTCTTTAATTTGTGTCTTAGGAAAACATTGAAGGGGCCCCAGGAATAGCCCCTCTCAACTTTTTCCTCCTTCCCCTTTTCTCTTCTTCACAATTTCCTTATCCTGCCCTTAAAACAAAAACCTGTCTCTGTCCCCAGTCTCAGGGCTCATTTGTCCTCTTTCCCTTCTGACTTCTTTCTCCCACTTTTTGTCACATAGATCATCATAGCCTGTGCTTCAAAGTTCTGTACCTTTGCATTTGGTTTCTCAAGTTCACTTTGCTACCCATTGGTTAATTCCATGTCCTAAAATCCAGGAATGGACCTGAGAGAGACACTATGATGGGGAGAAGCTGATCAAGCAAAGCCATGTCCTTATTTAGGGTAGGGGGTACAGGCAAAGGCTAGGAATACATACACACACACACACACACACACACACACACACTTTCAACCCCATCAGAAATCTGGGAGAGAAAGGGACCTAAGCTTAAGTTGTCAATAGTAATGATAGAAAAGAATGATGGGGATGCCTAGGTGGCTCAGTCAGTTAAGGGTCTGCCTTCAGCTCAGGTCATGATCCCAGGGTTCTGGGGTTGAGCCCTGCATCAGGCTCACTGCTCAGTGGGGAGCCTGCTTCTCCCTCTCCTCCCACCCCCCACTTGTACCCTCTCACTCTCTCTCAAATAAATAAATAAAATCTTCAAAAAAAAAAAAAAAGAATGTGGATCTGAGAAGCATTTCCAAAATAGAGCTATAAGACTTGATGATGAATAGAAAATAAAAGAAGAAGGAGAGGAGACAGATGAGGTTCTGAGGTCTTAAACATGAGTAACTGAGTAAAGATCAGGGTGTTGGACCTGTAGATGTGTTAGGGAGTGTATTAGTGACAGGTTGGGAGAGCAAGAAGTGGGTGGTAGGGATTTGGTTTAGGTGGGTGTATATGGATCATGAGTTGGCTTTTGGTTATCTTACATTTAAAGTGATACTGGGACATCCAAATGGAAGTGATCAACAGGTAGTTAGGTATATGTGAAAGAGGTCAAGGTAGTAAAAGATAAAGTTTGAAAGCTATCTGTATATAGGTGAGAAGTGTGGAGACAGACTTCATTTTCCTGCTAAGAATCCACATGGATGAAGAAAATGTCTCTAGGACAGAGTAATAAGAGGAAGAATCCAATTATAGACCGCAGGAAGATGAAGAATTTACTAAAGAAACACAAGAACTAGGTTTTCAGTCTAAAAGAGACCTTTATAGAACTCAAGGGAAGAGTTGGTTTTAGGAAAATGGTGGGTGGATACAACCCTACTTACCCATTAAACTGTGTTTACAAATGACTATTTAATGACAAGGGGAAAATTCTCATGATACATTTATTGAAAACTATTTAGAAAATTGTGTATAACATCCCAGTCTCTTTCTCTCTCTCTCTCTCTCTCTCATACATACACACACACACACACACACACAGTGTTGGGGGGAGAAGGAGAAATTACAACCAAATGTGTATAGTGTTTATTTCCAGGTGGTAGGATTTTGGGTGATCTTAATGAAAAAGAATGTCATTATTTAATCTTAAATAAAAAGAGAAATTTGAAATTTTTATATCTGTCTTTTATAATTTGTATGATGAGTGTACTTTATTCTCATTATCAGAAGAAAAATCATTTTATTAACATAAGTTAGAAGAAGAATAAATAATATATATAAATATAGGGCTACATCATCTCACTTAATGCCCATAAATATGGAACAGAATAAGCAGCATGGTCCCCTGAAAGTGACTCTGAAAGAGATATAGGAACTTGTGTGAGTCACATAGTAAGTGATGGAGCTGAGATTCTAATCTGGTGTTTTTTAAGGCACAAGGTACATATACACAGTCAGCTAAAATGTTATATCAAGTGAGGGAAAGAAGTTGGCTGTGCAAACAGTACATTAAGAGAAGACATGTAGGGGGCGCCTAGGTGGCTCAGTGGCTTAGGCATCTATCTACCTTAAGCTCAGGTCACGATCTTAGTTAGGGTCCTGGGATTGAGCTCTGTGTCAGGCACCCTGCTCAGCAGGGAGTTTGCCTGTATCTCTTCCTCTACCCTGCCCTCTGCTCATGTTTTTCCTCTCTCTAATCAATAAACAAAATCTTTCTTTAAAAAAAAAAAAATGTGGCAAGAAGGAAGGTACCAATGGCTTGCAAGTGTAGAGTGTCCACAGGATAGCAAAAGTGAAAAGCAATTTTCTTTCTTGATGAGAGGGGACTGGTGGGGAGATGGAGGCAGATTTGGGGCACTTGATAATAAATGTATGGTTTACCAGTCAAGACAGCCCAGGCCAGGCTAGGGTAACAGCCAGACAGTCCATCATCTCATGGTGTAGTTGTTGCAAGAGAGATTTATACCTTGCTTATGTGATGTGGGTTGACCTTGAGCTTCACTGTGGTCACTGGGAGACTCAGGCTGAAGGAGACATCATCTGAAACACACTTCTGTTATCACAGGGAAAAGGGAAGGTTGGGCTTAAGTACTAGCACTTAAATGCTTCTACCTGAAAATGTCAATGATTTTATTGACCAAAGCCTCACCTCAATTAAAACAGAGTGGGGAAGTTTGGCCCTACCATGTGCCCCTACAGAGGAGAACTGGAATATTGTTAATCCACCCTAATGGCCACCACAAGAGAGAAAACATTTCTTGTTTTTTAATGGTCCTGTTTTGGTAGCGAAGGAAATAGTTTTCAGAACTCTAGGTGTTTAACCTGGAGGTATCATGGTCATCAGTAGGAAACTGAGACTCAAAGAATCAAGTGATCATTAGTACAAAGTCACAGAGAGAAACAGTGGCTTTGTGAAGACTGTGTATCTGAGGCCAGTGACCCCAGTGGTCCGCAGTATACAATACTCACTGGCCTGGGGTATGTGAATTTGGAGGAGCCGTAGGCCTTGGCCTAGGAAACTACTGGAGGCTCTGCTTGCTAGGTGTTGAGAATAGTAGTCTTACCTCATATTAGGAGTTACTGATGCTAGAAGCCAATGTCATCTCCATCAGTAAAAACTCTGGACCGTATTTCTTAGGCGCCCAGGTTTTTGTATGTGGTTATTGCTGAAATGACCAGGGAAGACTGCAAGTCATTAAACTCTAAAGTGTAATTGTTAAAGTTGGGATAATATAAAACTAGCTGGGGCTGGCCCCAAGCAGTAAAGTGGTGTGTGAACTAAGCACTGGGAAAGCCAGTTGAGTGGCTCTTTATCTGTGGATTACAGACAGGTCAGTGTCAACTTAATGAGAGAGGGATTTAGCAGGTGAGAATCCTGGATAGTCTCCCTCTTCTCTGAGATCAATAGTGCATTTGGAATAGAGAGCAATTTACGAAAGGAAATGGGGTCATGAGGACACAGTCCATCCCGTAGAGGGTTAGGCAAACTGAATCCGAGTTGGCACTTAGAATGACCATAATTCTGATCTTTTTTTATGCTGCTATCAAAAATAGGCGGGGGGAGAAGAGGAAAGATACCTGTTTCAGGCTCACCAAGCATTGCTTTGTTGAAGGGCTGCTAGTCATATTTATCATATTCTATAAATTTATATGAGATATAAATATTACAATTGCTTTTAAAATTTTGTATATTTCTAAAGTTAAATAATGCTATTTATTCTACAATTAGGCAGGTGTGGTTCTGGGACTTTCATGGTTAACCTTCATATTCCTTGCTTTTTAAACTGTTTTTGGTTTTGGCTTTGATTTACATTATACAGTCATCAAATTCCTCTTTTTATCAGGGAAAAATGGAGGGTTTTCTGCATCTTAAAAGCATATAATTTACCTTGGATGTGAACTATAATGCTTATTCTGAAAAAATTCCATGTAGAACTGAAGAAATTGTGTAGAAAGTCTTTATGAATTGGAACCTCACATGTCATTGACACATTTTGAAGGGTGTTCTGTTGACTTTAGTGATGGATGATCCCATTCTGCCAAGTTCAGCTGGAAGTGGGACGGTGGCTTAGAAACCCAAATATCAATCTAGAAACTTCCTGGAACCATTGTTTTAAATCAGCAGGGTGGATGCGGCCTGCATCTGTGCAAAGGATGGCATTTCACTGGCTCACTCCACGGAAGTCTCTGGAACAGACGTAAACACCAGCACTCTTTGTTGTGTGTTGGCTTTTAAAAGCCCCCAATGGTTTAGGGAGAATAAGGCCTTGCCTTGGGGCTCCCTGGTCCAATTTTTTGGGACCTGGCTAAAAATCCTAGATATCTGATAGTCTGGCTTATTTCTATGGTGTATTAGCACCCTATAAAAGTTACATGTCATTTATTTCAAGTTTAGAACCCTCTCAAACTTCAGGGGCAAACCAAACTTGAACCTTTTGTGGCTGGAATTCTGTTTACCTTTGGCCAAACCTTGCTTCCTGAATGTGAGTCAGGGAGGTTAGGTGAGAGGGGGCTCCTGAGGCCCCTTGGACATCAAATTGCTTTTGCCAAACAACACTTTTTGATAGGTTAAAACATGAATGAATCTGAAACACGTAGATTAACTTCCTGTCAGAATACTCTGGGGCCTACACACAAAAGTATATTGTGCTGGGCAAATGCATTTTGAGAGTTGCCTTCCGCCAACTGTGAGGCAGTATCTGAGATTTTTGCCAAACACAGGTTGAAATTGGGTCAAGCCAGTTACCTTCCACTACCAATAAGTATATTAAATAGTTTCTATAAAGGTTATTGGATAATCCAATTGAATGAGGACCCTGGAGAAATTTGGACATTTCTTGTGTTGAAACATTTATCTTCAACCAGTGACAAAGAAAGATTGGACTCTAAGATACAGTGTCCAGTTCAAGGATGGCTATGATTCCTTTGTGTCTATCAGAATACAGGCTAGCAAGGAAGGCCTGGTGCTTGAATGAAGGAGAAATAACACACCATGTTCCCTGTGCCTTTCAGATAGAGGAACTGATGAGTGCGTTGGAGAAGACCAGACAGGAACTGGATGCCACCAAGGCACGCCTGGCCTCCACGCAGCAGTCTCTAGCTGAAAAAGAAGCCCATTTGGCCAACCTCCGGATAGAAAGGAGAAAACAGCTGGAGGAGATCCTGGAGATGAAGTGAGTACCCATTTTTGTTTTCCTGGTTTTTCTTTTCTAACTTTTCTTCAGGGATGGGGAAAGGAAGGCTAGAAAAGACAAAGATTTTGAAGAAAGAATAATCTGCCCAGCACTTAACTATTCATTTCCGTGACTATGCTTATTTTTTTTTTTTTAGTTATAGCTTCCATGTCCCAATTTGTACATTTTTCATATCTGTTATTCAAAAAAAAAAAAAATCCAGAATTAAATTTTGTGCGTCTGTGTTTTGCGGACGGCGCTGTTATTCTTAGATTTGTCTCAAAGGTCTGAGCTGGCCAAGAGACAGAAGCCTCATTAAGCACAATAGTAATTTGAGTGCTGCTCAGAGTTAAGTGGAAACTTTTCTGAGGAGGTATTTCCTAATTGTGACTATAACTTTGTTAATTATATTCTTTTCACATGTGTACAATGCGTAGCTTGTGCTGGCTTCCATAGTCTCAAGGTTGGCACCTCTTTGTTTAGAAAGCAAGGACTCTGATTTGCTGGGCTGATAAAAACAGACTTGGAAATCCCCCTGCTACCTCTTCCCCCTCACCCCAGGGTAGGGTAGGTGAGGGGTAGGGGGAGACAGGAACCAATCTCTTTCTTTGATTTAATCTATAAAGTATGACCTCATGCTGGGCAGTGATACTTCCTGTGGTCCTGTGACACACCCATCTCCACCTAGCTCTTATTTCATTCTTAAAACAAAATAATATCACCATGGAAGAACATAGGGAAGAAAATTGCTCAAAGATTTTAGAAATAATCACTTGGCTGTGGATCTGTTCCTAAAGAAGTAGGCAAGAAGCAGCAACTCTCTCTATAAGTTAAGATGAAATAATCACTAAGATATAATTTAACTTCCTTCCACAGTAAGGGAAATGTACATAATTATGGCATTTTAAGCCTGTAACATAGACTTTGAAATTGGTGGCTAGGTATGGAAGCATGACCTTATCCTGACCCCATAAGTCTTACACATGGTTAACATTAAACCCAGAAAGCTTAGATCATGGAAAATATGGAATGAAATATTTTGAAGGATTTAATAATGAGGACAAAACTTTCATTCCTTGTCAACTACCTCAGTTTCTCCAAGACCAAAGGATAAGTAGTTTTTTTAATACATAAACTTGCATTTTTCCTAATAAATAATACATAATAAAAACAGATATTATTATCCTCAGTTTAGAAGTGAGGGAACTGAGATTCAGAGAGATTTCAAGTAATTTGCTTAAGGCCATTCTGGCCAGGATTAAAACTGAAATCTTCTACATCAAGGTCCCTTTCTACTGACTTATTTTCTCATGGAGTTTATGTGCATTCCACCAAGCCTGAAACTTTCTTCAGTTTGAGTCACTGTGGTTGTCATAATGCCTAGAACAGTGCCCAGCATATGGTAAATGGTCAATAATTGTTTATCGAATGAGTGAGTAGATTGAGTGCAAAGACTGGATTTTATGTAGCTAAGAGGAGGAGTATTTCAAACATCTGTGACATTACCAGCTTGAACAATAATTTATTAACAATAGCAGTACATTGATTCCTTCAGGCTTTTTATTCTTTTCCATTCACCAGCCCCACTTCTGCCCCCTTGTGTGTTGTGATGTGTGAAGTTCAGCCTAGTTTCTCTCATTGTTCTCAGTGATCTCCAAGTTAACTCTGTATCTCTTGGAGTGATTTATTACGGCTTTTTAAGGAAATGTCCATTATGTCTTGTTTATAAAAAGGACATATATTTTCAGCGTTTTGAGAGAGTGAGTAACAGTGAAGCACACCGATTTGGGAGTCATCAGATCTAGGTTGAAATCCTGTTGCTTCCACTTGGTGGCTGTGTGATTTAGGGGAAATGACCTTAACATCGCTGGCCTTTCTGTTTCCTTCTGTAACGACTTTCGTGGAGTGTTTGAGAGGAGAGCCCCTCAGGAGGGCTTGGCACACAGAAAATGATATATGTGTGTAAATGACGCTATCAGCCAATGAAAATATGTCATTTGTTTAGTATATTTTGTGAAGAGTATCATTTATCTAAAATTTGGATTTATTTTTCTTAAACATATAAACCTTTTCCGTGTGTATGTTTTCCCACTTAATTTCATGATTTCAGATAGCACCTAACTAAGACCTCTTTTGGTGAATTGCCACATTATTGCTCAAGTGCTTAATCTTCTGCCACTGCAAAATAAATACAGAATTCTTCTGTTAATTCCTTTGGTAAAAGTAACAAAGCCCTGCTTCATTGAGCCCAATATGGACCCTATTCACTATTTAACTGGCCCAGAAGCCCCACTTCTGGGCTCCTTCCCAGGACTATGGGGACACAGGTATGGGGAATTCTATTGACCAAAAATCCCAATTAGATTCAGGAGCCTCCTGGGCTGTTCAAGTCAACCAATTGGTTTGATCAATCCTGATTTTTAAGCTGAGTTGACATATTGGTTACTGGACATTAACTGAGTCAAAATAAGTTAGTGGAAAAACTCAGATGGGTATATCCCTGTCAGTATTTACTGTCACTTGTGAAAAGTATTATTGGGTCTCTCTCTCTTTTTTTTTTAAGGTTTTATTTATTTGAGAGCAAAAGTGAGAGAAAGAGAACGCATCAGTAGGGGTAGGGGGAAAGGGAAGCAGACTCTCCCACTGAGCAGGGAGACTGACACAGGGCTCGATTCCAGGACCCCGGGATCAGGACCTGGGTCGAAGGCAGATGCTTAACTAACTGAGCCACCCAGGCGCCCTATTGGTTTTCTTTCAACTTGGCAGGCATCCTGTAAGCAATTTTAGGCAAAGTCTAGCTATTCCCAATCCGTGTAGGAAGGGAGAGGTTGTATGGTGTTAGAGGATGCAGGGGTGGGGCTGTGAGTCAGGAGAAAGGAGCTGGGGTATGTTAACTTACCCATAATATTGAAGGAGATCACTACCTGGTTATCTCAGTTTTCCCTTCAGTAACATGGAGGTGATAATAACTGCTTTGCCTACTCTATAGAATTGTTATACAGACAGGATTTTTTTTTAAAGTACTGAACTGAAAATGAATATAGATCAGCATGTGTGAAAGTGCTTTGAAACATAAAAGGGGCTTTTGAAATGAAAGGTGGTGTCTGTTAAATTCGTTGTAAAATCAAATGTCACAGAGTTTTAAAATTGGAAAGCAGCTGGGTCCAGCCTCCCAGCGTGCATAAACCAGACTCCAATCCATGTAATTACTACTAGGGAATTCACCAGGCCCTGGTGAACACCATTCCCACTGGCACTTGCAGATACCTCACTGGTACTTATATGGAACCGAAATGGCTTTCTGTGTAATATTGCCACTTGTCTTGGTTTTTCTTTTAATGTTTTGCCAATATAAAGAATGTTTTGATAAGCATTCTGCTGTTCTATCTTATTAACTTAATTTTAAGTAATTATAAATTGATATGCAGTTATAAGAAATCATTTATCATTTATAAGTTATAAGAAATCATTTTCCTCAATAGTAACATTTTGAATAATTATAAATTATAGCATAGGATCACACCAAGAAATGGATATTGGTACAATTTACCAACTTTATTCAGATTTCTCTGTGTTTAAATGCACTTGTTTTGTGTACATATTTAGTTATATGCAATTTCATCACATGTGTAAATTTGTGTAACCACTGTTAAAGATATAGAATTATTCCATCATTACAAAGATCCCTCATGCTACCTTTTGATAACTACCCCCACAACCCAGCTGTTTCATTTATAACCAGTGTTTTGTTTTGTGTTTTATCATCTTCGGACATGTGCCATAAACATCTGCATTTTTCCCTCTCATTCTCCTGGAGCAGTGCAGGAAATTATCTTCTTAGTTTAAATTTAGACTGAATTTAGAATGAGAAAATATTGCTTGATTCCTCTAATTTAAAGATTTCTCATGAGTTGGTTTTATTTTATTTATAGTGTAATTTCTTTTTAATGTTGGATATCTAGAACCTGTCATGTGGTAGACATTTTATAAACTTTTGAGGAATGAAAGGATGAATTAGCACAAAAATTCATATTCATTGAGTACCTACTATGTGGCAAGGGTTGTTCTAAGTGAACAAACAGAAAAATCCCACCTGATCAAGCTTGCACTTTAGTAAAATGAGTGGAGGAAATGAATGAACTAATAAGCAAATAAATGAATAGATAGATGAGAAAAATATTTTTTTCCTATAACCAAGGAAATTTGGAATCCCACTTAGAAAGCTAATCCAAAGGTAAGGGACCCTTGTAGGTCTTTGGGATAAAGAGGAACATGGAAAATTCAGTGTAATTTCCTAGACTGAGAACCCTTTTAGAGACCTAGGTCAGAGGAGAGCCTTTGACTGTATTTCATATAGGATTCTTCCTCCCAACACCTCCCCATTTAGTTTGGTTTTTATTGGTTAGTATCCTAATTGCTTGTCATTATTCTGACACTGGAAGGAACTGACAGTCCCCAACCTGCATTTTCTTTCTTTTTTTTTTTTCTTTTAAAGATTTATTTATTTGATAGAGAGAGTGCACAACAGTGGAGGGGAGGCAGAGGGAGAGAGAGAAAATCTCAAGCAGACTTCCCACTGAGCGTGGAGCCTGATGTGGGGCTCAATGTCAGGAGCCTAAGATCATGACCTGAGCAGAAACCGGAAGTCAGCTGCTGTACGGACTGAGCCACCTAGGTGCCCCAACCCTGTATTCTCATAGAAGAGCACTATATTCACTTTCCTTTGTGTATAAGATTATTCTTTTTCTTTTTTAAAGATTTTATTTATTTATTTGACGGAGATCACAAATAGGCAGAGAGGCAGGCAGAGAGAGAGAGGGGGAAGCAGGCTCCCCACCGAGCAGAGAACCCGATGTGGGGCTTGATCCCAGGGCCCTGGGATCATGACCTGAGCCGAAGGCAGAGGCTTTAACCCACTGAGCCACCTAAGTGCCCCTAGAAGATTATTCTTTTACTTAAAAAAATATTTAAAACCTCTTGCTACAACATTTCCTAATGCT